GTGAAGCTGCAGGGCGACGGGCGGCAGCCCGACGTGAAGTGCCGCTGCAGGGTGACGGGCGGCAGCCCGACGTGAAGTGCCGCTGCAGGGTGACGGGCGGCAGCCCGACGTGAAGTGCCGCTGCAGGGCGACGGGCGGCAGCCTGAAGATTGACGAGATGAGAGAAATAGGGTTACGCCGAAGCGGGAAGAACAGCGGGACAGAGCAGTGGTGATTCGGGGCGAATGGCGAGAGAACGCTAGTGACGGTTACCTTTAGCCAAGTGCAGAAACCGGTGCACCGTGACTGTGAGAAAGGTAGCGCGAGGGAGAATTTGCCCACGGGAGATGTCGCGAATCACGGCGACGAGGACAGCGCGGGAGAAATTCAGGCCGGGAAGATCGGTTCGATGACGAAACGTCGAGCGATGAGTGTTGAAGGTGGCTTCGCCTAAGAGTGTGGGAGAGGATTCCGCAAGGTAAGAGGATCAAGATCCACATGTGCGGTTGAAGAGCTCTGATACCATGTCAGAACTTGAGCTTAGAATCCATGCATTAGTAATGAGCTCAAGGCTCTTTAAGTACATCGGAAATGTGCAAGGTAAGGATGGGGAGAGAATCGGGGGCAATCCTAGGTGATTGGGGGTAATCCCAAGGCAATCTCCAATTGGTGGGTTGGAGATTGCTTGGAGATCACATTTGGGTTTGGTTGGGATGTGGGTGTACACCCAACCAAACACAAATTGCACGCTACACTAGGATATAAAAGTGCAAGTACAAAATGTGAGGTTGAGGGCTAACACTAACAGAGGCAACAAACGTCCACATGCTCATGAGCTTACCGCATGGTTCTCTCTGCCCTTCTACAGGCTCCCCTTGAAGCTCCCCTTGAGTACTTGCACATTTGCCAGGGTTTAGGGTTCACTCTGCTGTTCCACATTTTCTTCTTGAAGCGCCCTTCGCTCATAGTGGAAGAGCAGCAATTCTGCAGAAAGGATCGAAACTGAAAATTCTTCCTGGAAAAACTCTTCACTCTGCTCGTCCTCAGGTTCCTCCAGCGCAACAACCTGAGTGGCACTTTTCCTCTCTGGATTGCAGAGATGTCCAGCATTGGATGGCTGTGAGTGCATTGGATGGCTGTGAGTGCATTGGATGGCTGTGAGTGCATTGGATGGCTGTGAGTTTATTGGATGGCTGTGAGTTTATTGGATGGCTGTGAGTGAAAGTCGAGTAAACTTACCTACACCTCCAACTTATTTACACCTCCAACTCTGAGGTTGTGAGAGTGATGCTCTATGATGCTCCTCTCATCTGCTGCTCCTCTCATCTGCTGCTCCTCTCATCTGCTGCTCGACATGTACCACGTGCCAGCCCACCAGTCGAGCCCATCGTCTTGTCATGTTCCTCCATTGTCACGTTCCTTCGACATGTGTCTGCTCCGTCACGTTCGCCCATCCGCACATGTTGGACTTGCTTTTGACGATTCTCAGAAGTTGCTGAACACAATCGCGCCGAACCTTCCATCATCTCGGGTGTCCTGCTGTGTGCAATCACGGATCCATTGCATCGCATTGAAATGCATCCATTGCATTGTGCTGCCTGCCTGCCTGGCTCCTTGCCAGGTACCTCAGTGACAACAACTTCTCTGGCCCAGTCCCTGCCTCTCTTGGAGGCTCTAAAGGCCTCATCTTTCTGTGAGTCACCTGCTGTGCACTGTGCTCTCATGTTCCGTGTGACCTGCTATCAGAACAAGAGACATCATCGTGGTCGGCGTGCATCCCTTCACATAAGGGACATCATTTTTTTCTCATCTCTTTCTCCACTGTTCTCTCATCATGCCTTGGCGTTTCCCTCTGCTGCACACGACACGATAGCCCTCTGCGCTCTTTCACCCCCTCCATCCACCATCCCCCTTCCATCCATCAGCGAACTGTCAGGTTCGGGGCTCACTTGCCCGCCGAATGCGTCCAGTTGTGTCGTTCGGCAGGTCAACTACAGCGCCTTCTGCCAAGACTGCCGCGGCTTCTGTGCCACGTGCACAAGTGATCAGTGTGAGCTGCTTGGGGTGTCTGTGCCATGTGCACAAGTGCCACGTTCAATATTTGTGATTTCTGGTGCTTCAATAGTTGTAATTCTGGTGCTTCAATACTTGTAATTCCGGTGCTTCAATAGTTGTAATTCCGGTGCTTCAATACTTGTAATTCCGGTGCTTCAATACTTGTAATTCCAGTGCTTCAATACTTGTAATTCCGGTGCTTCAATACTTGTGATTCCGGTGCTTCAATACTTGCAAGGTGCTTCAATACTTGTAATTCTGGTGCTTCAATACCTGTGATTCTGATGTCCTGGCGCATGTGTCCCTCCAAAGCAGCCCCACCACCATCACCAATCGCGGCCTCCCCTCTACTATCCCCATCACCCAATCAACCCATCTACCCCTCCCCTCCCTCCTCCTCGCCCTCCTCTTCCTCGCCCCCTTCCAACTCGCTCGATTCCTCCTCCCAATCCGGCCTGTCGGTGGGAGCGGTCATCGGCATTGTCACAGCAGCCCTGCTGCTCTTGCTTCTGCTGCTTGTCTCAGCTTGGTGGCTTGCCAGCCACTTCAAGATCTTCACAAAAGGTAAGGCTTTTTTACATGTTAGCCGTCTCTTCGAGGGAGCACAAATGAGTGAGAGCCACGTCAATTCTTTTTTAGTCACCTCAAAGGCAGCTTGTGTGAGAGCCACCTTAATTCTGACAGATTTCAGCAACGCGCAGCATATCATCACCATACCTTTGTATAACGTAACTTGCAAAACTGCTGTGTTCCCGTATGTGCTGCTTCTCACAAAGCAGAAAACATATATATATATATATACATATATATGTATATATATATGTATATATTTCTGTTCTTTTTTCAATTGTGCCCTTCCCAACACCATACTCCCTACAGACTCCTCCAGCCCGCGCTTAGGCAACACAACGACACCATGCCGGCGCTACTCCCTGGCCGTTGTGGCGCGCGCCACGGGCAACTGGTCCAAGGACTGCCTGCTGGGGTCGGGCGCGTATGGAGACGTGTACCGCGGGGTGTGCCCCGACGATGGCTCCACGCTGTGGGCTGTGAAGCGCGCCAAAGTCATCACTGCTGACTTCCACCGAGAGGTGGGTCACGGGCAGCGAGGTGGGTCAACACCCGCACGACTACTTTTGGGGTGCCTTAAATGTAGGCTCCTTTGTGTGTGTGTGGAACAACACGGGGTGTGTGTGTGGAAGTGGAACCACTCGGGTCGGGGTGTGTGTGTGGAAGTGGAACCACTCGGGTCGGGGTGTGTGTGTGGAAGTGGAACCACTCGGGTCGGGGTGTGTGTGTGGAAGTGGAACCACTCGGGTCGGGGTGTGTGTGTGGAAGTGGAACCACTCGGGTCGGGGTGTGTGTGTGGAAGTGGAACCACTCGGGTCGGGGTGTGTGTGTGGAAGTGGAACCACTCGGGTCGGGGTGTGTGTGTGGAAGTGGAACCACTCGGGTCGGGGTGTGTGTGTGGAAGTGGAACCACTCGGGTCGGGGTGTGTGTGTGGAACCACTCGGGGTATCTCCTGACTTGAGACGAGCAAGGGCGACTCGAGGAGAAAATGTTGGTGCCACAACTTCACAACCAATTCCAGTGGTTTTTGTTTTTTCCGGCCTATTTGCCGTCGGTTAGTCTCGTACAACTCTTCTGTGTTCCACATGTACCACACTGCTGACATAACAGTGACAATGAATGTACTCGATGGCAATGTATGAGAAACCAAGCTGGTCATACGCATACACAAACACCTGGCGAGAAGTGCTGCATGCATCAATTAGGCCCTAGTTGACAGACACTGTATTTCTTCCAATCCTCTCAGCATTGCTCTTATCCAAAAGAAAGAAAGACAGACAGAAAGAAAGGAAGGAAGGAAGAAACCGATTTGGCTGGGCTCTGTTTGTATCATTACGTCTGCTCCCTCTGGTCTCTTGGCCTCACTTTTGTAACTCAGATGGTCACGAAGTTTTAGGCGCCTCAAAAGTCCTTCCTGTACCAATCTCTGTAATTCTCTGCACATGGTTTCACGCAACTGCCTCAGGTGCCCTTTGAGTCAACTCAAACGGCTTGCACTGCACCTCTCTGTTCCCATGCAGCTGTGTCTGTCAGCCATGTACTGTATCAATCCCTCCCTCTCTCTCTTCTCTTGGTCCAGCACAGGTGGCTCAGATGGCAACGAAGCATCATCCCAATCTGGTGCGCCTGCTGGGGTACGCTGTGGGAGGCCATGTGAGCACGCGCGTGGAGAACATTCTCGTCTACGAGTTCATTGCCAATGGCGACCTGCGGGGATGGATCGGCCCAGGTACTGTCTGGTCCTTTGAGTCGTCTCAGAAGTCACATTGCTGGGGTACGCTACACTGTGGGAGGCCATGTGAGCACGCGGGTGGAAAACGTTCTTGTCTATGAGTTCATCACCAATGGCGGGTGTACACCCAACCAAACATAAAGTGCAAAGTACACTTAACTAGGATATAAAAATTACATTACAAAAGTGACATGAAGGGCTAACACTAACACCATGCACTTGCGTTTACCATGCACTTGTGCCAACCATGCACTTGTGCCAACCATGCACTTGTGCCAACCATGCACTTGTGCCAGCCATGCACTTGTGCCAACCATGCACTTGTGCCAACCATGCCCTTGTGTCATTAGTGGTAAAAAGAAAAAAGAAAAAAAAACAAAACGAAAACGCACACACACACACACACACACACACACACCCACACCCACACCCACACACACACAAAACACACAGACACACAAAACACACAAATAAACATATACAAAAGCTTCAATGCTAGCGAATGCCAGCCAGCTCGAAGTTGGATGATCGAGCCGGGCAGGTTGTAAGTTGCCGGCCAAACGTGACAGTATCCGAAGGAGGACGGGCCAGCTCGGGCCGGGCCTGGCTCAAAGTACGCTGGGCCTGGCTAAGGGGGGCGGTCCCTTGCACTGCACTGCACAGAAGGAGCTGGCCCTTGGACAGAAGGAGCTGGCCCTTGGACAGAAGGAGCTGGCCCTTGGACAGAAGGAGCTGGCCCTTGGACAGAAGGAGCTGGCCCTTGGACAGAAGGAGCTGGCCCTTGGACAGAAGGAGCTGGCCCTTGGACAGACCTAATTGGCAGTAGCTAGCAACTTGGAAGCTTCATGGCATGCCTTTGTTGGTTTCAAAGTGCCAGGCACACTGATACCATCCTTGGGGTCTACCATACTACACTGCATTCCCAGATTCTCCCACAAGTTTGACTCTGCAGCAGCGGAGTGACTTTCTTCTTAGGTGTTGCTCATGGCTTCTTAGGTGTTGCTCATGGCTTCTTAGGTGTTGCTCATGGCTTCTTAGGTGTTGCTCATGGCTTCTTAGGTGTTGCTCATGGCTTCTTAGGTGTTGCTCATGGCTTCTAAGGTGTTGCTCATGGCTTCTTAGGTGTTGCTCATGGCTTCTTAGGTGTTGCTCATGGCTTCTTAGGTGTTGCTCATGGCTTCTTAGGTGTTGCTCATGGCTTCTTAGGTGTTGCTCATGGCTTCTTAGGTGTTGCTCATGGCTTCTTAGGTGTTGCTCATGGCTTCTTAGGTGTTGCTCATGGCTTCTTAGGTGTTGCTCATGCCTTCTTAGGTGTTGCTCATGCCTTCTTAGGTGTTGCTCATGGCTTCTTAGGTGTTGCTCATGCCTTCTTAGGTGTTGCTCATGCCTTCTTAGGTGTTGCTCATGGCTTCTTAGGTGTTGCTCATGGCTTCTTAGGTGTTGCTCATGGCTTCTTAGGTGTTGCTCATGGCTTCTTAGGTGTTGCTCATGCCTTCTTAGGTGTTGCTCATGCCTTCTTAGGTGTTGCTCATGGCTTCTTAGGTGTTGCTCATGCCTTCTTAGGTGTTGCTCATGGCTTCTTAGGTGTTGCTCATGGCTTCTTAGGTGTTGCTCATGGCTTCTGATTTCTTCTCCTCTGCAACGCAGCATCCCCAATGCTGCTGCCCCCAATACATCATTTCTCCAATGCTGCTGCCCCCAATACATCATTTCTCCAATGCTGCTGCCCCCAATACATCATTTCTCCAATGCTGCCTTGCCTCTGCTCTGCCATCTTCCAGAGGCGCCCATAATTTTGACTCTGCAGCAGCGGTTGGGCATTCTCCTGGGGGTGGCACGAGGGTTGGAGTATCTGCACAGCTTTGGCCTCGTGCACCGCGACATCAAGCCAGCCAACATCCTCCTTGATGCTCACATGCAGGTGGGCTCATCAAAGGCTGGCAACACACTTGCTTCACATGCAGGTGGGCTCATCAAAGGCTGGCAACACACTTGCTTCACATGCAGGTGGGCTCATCAAAGGCTGGCAACACACTTGCTTCACATGCAGGTGGGCTCATCAAAGGCTGGCAACACACTTGCTTCACATGCAGGTGGGCTCATCAAAGGCTGGCAACACACTTGCTTCACATGCAGGTGGGCTCATCAAAGGCTGGCAACACACTTGCTTCACATGCAGGTGGGCTCATCAAAGGCTGGCAACACACTTGCTTCACATGCAGGTGGGCTCATCAAAGGCTGGCAACACACTTGCTTCACATGCAGGTGGGCTCATCAAAGGCTGGCAAAACACTTGCTTCACATGCAGGTGGGCTCATCAAAGGCTGGCAACACACTTGCTTCACATGCAGGTGGGCTCATCAAAGGCTGGCAACACACTTGCTTCACATGCAGGTGGGCTCATCAAAGGCTGGCAACACACTTGCTTCACATGCAGGTGGGCTCATCAAAGGCTGGCAACACACTTGCTTCACATGCAGGTGGGCTCATCAAAGGCTGGCAACACACTTGCTTCACATGCAGGTGGGCTCATCAAAGGCTGGCAACACACTTGCTTCACATGCAGGTGGGCTCATCAAAGGCTGGCAATACACTTGCTTCACATGCAGGTGGGCTCATCAAAGGCTGGCAACACACTTGCTTCACATGCAGGTGGGCTCATCAAAGGCTGGCAACACACTTGCTTCACACGCAGGTGGGCTCATCAAAGGCTGGCAACACACTTGCTTCACATGCAGGTGGGCTCATCAAAGGCTGGCAACACACTTGCTTCACATGCAGGTGGGCTCATCAAATGCTGGCAACACACTTGCTTCACATGCAGGTGGGCTCATCAAAGGCTGGCAACACACTTGCTTCACATGCAGGTGGGCTCATCAAAGGCTGGCAACACACTTGCTTCACATGCAGGTGGGCTCATCAAAGGCTGGCAACACACTTGCTTCACATGCAGGTGGGCTCATCAAAGGCTGGCAACACACTTGCTTCACATGCAGGTGGGCTCATCAAAGGCTGGCAACACACTTGCTTCACACGCAGGTGGGCTCATCAAAGGCTGGCAACACACTTGCTTCACATGCAGGTGGGCTCATCAAAGGCTGGCAACACACTTGCTTCACATGCAGGTGGGCTCATCAAATGCTGGCAACACACTTGCTTCACATGCAGGTGGGCTCATCAAAGGCTGGCAACACACTTGCTTCACATGCAGGTGGGCTCATCAAAGGCTGGCAACACACTTGCTTCACATGCAGGTGGGCTCATCAAAGGCTGGCAACACACTTGCTTCACATGCAGGTGGGCTCATCAAAGGCTGGCAACACACTTGCTTCACATGCAGGTGGGCTCATCAAAGGCTGGCAACACACTTGCTTCACATGCAGGTGGGCTCATCAAAGGCTGGCAACACACTTGCTTCACATGCAGGTGGGCTCATCAAAGGCTGGCAACACACTTGCTTCACATGCAGGTGGGCTCATCAAAGGCTGGCAACACACTTGCTTCACATGCAGGTGGGCTCATCAAAGGCTGGCAACACACTTGCTTCACATGCAGGTGGGCTCATCAAAGGCTGGCAACACACTTGCTTCACATGCAGGTGGGCTCATCAAAGGCTGGCAATACACTTGCTTCACATGCAGGTGGGCTCATCAAAGGCTGGCAACACACTTGCTTCACATGCAGGTGGGCTCATCAAAGGCTGGCAACACACTTGCTTCACACGCAGGTGGGCTCATCAAAGGCTGGCAACACACTTGCTTCACATGCAGGTGGGCTCATCAAAGGCTGGCAACACACTTGCTTCACATGCAGGTGGGCTCATCAAATGCTGGCAACACACTTGCTTCACATGCAGGTGGGCTCATCAAAGGCTGGCAACACACTTGCTTCACATGCAGGTGGGCTCATCAAAGGCTGGCAACACACTTGCTTCACATGCAGGTGGGCTCATCAAAGGCTGGCAACACACTTGCTTCACATGCAGGTGGGCTCATCAAAGGCTGGCAACACACTTGCTTCACATGCAGGTGGGCTCATCAAAGGCTGGCAACACACTTGCTTCACACGCAGGTGGGCTCATCAAAGGCTGGCAACACACTTGCTTCACATGCAGGTGGGCTCATCAAAGGCTGGCAACACACTTGCTTCACATGCAGGTGGGCTCATCAAATGCTGGCAACACACTTGCTTCACATGCAGGTGGGCTCATCAAAGGCTGGCAACACACTTGCTTCACATGCAGGTGGGCTCATCAAAGGCTGGCAACACACTTGCTTCACATGCAGGTGGGCTCATCAAAGGCTGGCAACACACTTGCTTCACATGCAGGTGGGCTCATCAAAGGCTGGCAACACACTTGCTTCACATGCAGGTGGGCTCATCAAAGGCTGGCAACACACTTGCTTCACATGCAGGTGGGCTCATCAAAGGCTGGCAACACACTTGCTTCACATGCAGGTGGGCTCATCAAATGCTGGCAACACACTTGCTTCACATGCAGGTGGGCTCATCAAATGCTGGCAATCCAAGGCACAGGTGTGGCAACTGGGCACAGGCACTCATGCAGGATATCACTTGGGGTGCAGGTGCAGTGGTAAGGTGCTACAGCCATCTTGAATCAGACCAATTCACCCTCCCAATCACATGATTCCATCCTGTCTGAATCCCATGAACCCCCATTTCGCCCCAATCCTCCCCCGCCGCTTGCCTTGCCTGCCTTTCCCGGCCTTCCCCAGGCGAAGGTGGCAGACTTTGGGCTTGTACACGTGGGGGAGGGCACGGCAACAACAACAGGGTTCACGCGAGTGCTGGGAACGGTGGGCTATGTGGACCCTGCTTACTCCCTCACGCACAACGCCACCACCACTGCTGACGTTTACAGGTGCGGTGCAGATTTGAGTCTGTTTTAAGTCAAGTCAGATGGGTGATTTTTGAATTCGACACCACTGACGTCACTGGTGTGTACATACAAAGTACACCCTTGAAGTGCAAATGTACAGTCAATGACACGTGTGAAGAAGTGAATGGATTGGAAATGAAGGTCAAACCAGAGCCTCTACTCTGCTTGATGCACGCTCAATGAAAGCATGCGATACAAAGAGTTGAGGGTCAATGCGCATTCCAACATCTACTTGGCTTCTAATCTATTGTCATCTACCCCGACTTGCATTCTGTCCGAAAGAGGCGTTGTGATCTTTCCCATGTGACTCGAACCCTACAGTCTGTGTTACTCCTTTCTTTCTTGCCCCCTTGCTCCCGTGCTCCCTTGCTCCCTTGCTCCCTTGCTCCCTTTCTCCCTTGCTCCCTTGCTTCCTTCCGTCCTTGCTTCCTTGATTCCTTGCTTCTCTTCTTCCACATGTTGGTGCTTCCTTTGTTCACGAATCTGATCCGCGGTGTAGCTTTTTCATTCGCATCTTGGTGTTGCTCTCACGCAGAAAAGCCACAATCAATGTGATGGCTGTTGGCTGGTGACCATTTGGTGACCAAGAAACAACTTGACGTTAGCTATTCCTTTTCTGCTTATTCTCAAGCGTGTGTCGAGCTTGTTCTGCTTGTTCGCCGTGCAGCTTTGGCGTGCTCATGCTGGTGATGCTGTCGGGCAGAGGAGCCACCATCAGTGTGATGAGTGGCAGTGAGCCAGCCACCTGTGCCACCAACGAGCCAATCTCCATCTCCAAATGGGTGTGTTTGCCAATCTCCATTTCCAAATGGGTGTGTGTGCCAATCTCCATTTCCAAATGGGTGTGTGTGCCAATCTCCATTTCCAAATGGGTGTGTGTGCCAATCTCCATTTCCAAATGGGTGTGTGTGCCAAT